ACGGGACGAAAACCATAGCTATTCCTAGTCTAGAACAAAATAAGCACCTTCCATGTTGTTGTAAAGCCGAGGATTGGGCACGTAGAGCGCAAGGCAGCGCGTGGGGCTATGGGGGACGTCGGAGTGAACTCCATCCCTCCTACCAGGCGTTACACAGTCAGACAGAAAAACGCAGGGTAGCAGTTACAGAGGATGCAGAAATAATTACGCGGATTCCCCGCAGAAGTTGTTAATAGCCTTCCATCGCTGCTTGGGGATCAACTGGACAATTCAAAAGCCTAGTACAATAAAGTAGTACTCACGGTGTTCACCCATTACTTGTCATCTTCAGCGCAAGACATTATCGTAGAGTTATATGTATTTCTCTTTCTATCGTTGATAAAGTTTGTGGGGCTTCAAATGTTGCCAGAAAAAGTCGATAGTCTTTGCCACTCCATATCATGAGCTAGATACTTTTCAGTTTCAATTCTAAATGCAACAGCTGTCACGTAGCTATTTTCCCTTTTTACCTCAGTGATGGGATCTTCTGGAGGTTTTTTGACCTTTGACCATTTCAGCGCTTAACCTTTGTAACTGCTGCTTGCAGTTATCAACTGCCAATCCGAATGCTCGGCACTTTATACCCATCCTCCTCATGCTTGGAATATCCGTTTCCAGAATATCCGCTTGTGGTGTTACACATTCGGGATTTTGCAATTTTTCAAAGAGTGAATTACAAACTACTTCCCTTTGCCGAAGAGAACGCTTCTATGTTTGCACTCCCAGCAAGACACGTGAGTTGGAACCGCCAGTCGTGGGGGTGGCGTTAGGCTACATTCCGGAAAACTAATAGTTTAGCTAAAGCAGAAGAAGAAGAAGAAGAAGAAGAAGAAGAAGAAGAAGAAAAAGAAGAATATGATGATGATGATGATGATGATGATGATGATGATGATGATGATGATGGTTAATGATGATGATGATGATGATGATGATGATGATGATGATGATGATGATGATCGATGATGATGATGATGATGATGATGATGATGATGATGATGATGATGATGATGCTGAGGATGATGATGGTGAGGATGATGATGATGATGGTGGTGTTGATTATATTTATGATAATACTGAGGTTGATGATGATGATGATGATGATGATGATGATGATGATGCTGAGGGAGAGGAGGAGGAGGAGGAGGAGGAGGGGGGAGGCCCTTCGTGTCCCCATTTACCCTTATCTGCAACTGTCCCTCATTATGGTCTAGGGTGAGAATCCGAAACGTCAAGGAAATAAACATAGTACTCCAGCGATCGCTTCTTCTTCTGAACGGCTTCCTGTAACTCGTCTATTCGCTTCTACTGGAACAGTTTTGTATTTTTGCGAGTTCTCCAGAACATGTGTATGTAGAGATTTAAAGACCATATACACAACCGGCCATCGTCGGTATCCCCCGTTATTATTTTGCAGATTAACGCTCGCTGGCTGTCGGGCT